ACTTAATATCTTCACTTGTTTTATTAATTATTATTTGGTTTATCTTGGTTATTTGTTTTCATTGGATTATTACAAATCATTTTTAAACATCAATATACACTAACAATTGAATGATTGTGTTAAATAATGGGAAAATAATTTATGTCAATAAAATAATGTTAATTATTTTCAACCATTAGATTAGACATTTTTTATTTCATATTTCTATTTCTGTAATAAAAATACATCCTTTGTTTCATCCTTTTCATCTTTTGTTATCTTTTTTTAATATACTCATTTTTATCTTCTTTCTTTTTATCTTCTCTTCTTTTTTCTTTTATCCTTTTATTTTCTTCTATTCCTAATTTCATTTATTCTTTTATATTACATTCTTTTTCTTCATTTCTCTTCCTTTTTTTTTCTCTTAATTCATTTTTCATTGTTTATTCATATATCATATCATGATTTATATTATTCATTATATTTGATGTTCATATCATCACTTCATCATTATCATTGATTTATATTCATTTTATGTTTACAAAAGTGTAGAATATCTTATTATTCATTTCTATAATCAATTATTGTATTGTTTAACTCGATTCATTAATCAATTATATTGAAATATAAATGTGAATAAATAATTTAAATACAAATGAAATGGAGTAGTTAAAATGTATATGTTAATTATCAACTTCTTCACTTCATTTATTTCAATTTTACAATGATTTGATAAATAATTAATTGAGAACATTATGAAATTAAAAGATACACAACTACATTAGATTAAGAAGTTCATGAATGAATATTCAAATATAAAATACAAACAAATGATGTGATTCATTAAAAAGTATTTTAATTAGAATAAACATATCAAAATGATATCATCATAATGAAAATACATGAATGATATATTATGAATGATATTTGAAGTAATACCATCATCCAACTTATATGTGTTAATCATCTAAATTATCATTTTAAACTAACATTTATTATACAACAATGATGAATTAATATTTAATATTTATTCA